GATCTACCGTTCCTTCGAACGTTACTTCGTAGTGAAATGTCATCGGATGCGAATCACGATCGTCGACGACCATGTAACGCTCGAACGGCGTTAAAGGAAGTTGTCGCGATGGATCCGACGATTGTGACATGAAGGGATTGTTTCTTACGTGAAAGTGAGAGCTTGGATGTTGTCTAGAAATACCACCAGATCTGCAGCCAGCCTTCTTTGGTGGCGGCCATTTGCGGTACAAGCGGCTGGTCGATTTCCATCTCGTCAAGAAGGCGTCGTGAAAGGGGTGTCAAATCAATCGTTGTTGGAATATCGCGATCCAAAAGATTCAGTGCGACTCGTCGAATGATCAGTTCGCGGACGTTTCGAGAACTGGTGTCTTCCTTGTTTTCGATCTTCGGCTTATCGACTCGAACAAGATTCCATTCCTTTTCGAGTTCCCCTTCTAGACGATAGGTGACCGTTGCAATGACGTTGTCCAGCGTTCCCTTCGGAGTCCGTAGCTGGGTGAAATGCGCGTGTAGCGTCAGTTCATTTTTCTCGAACTCGAATTGTACTGGGAAGGAGTCGGCGAATGTGAGAAGCAGTTGCTCTTCGGGAGGAGCAGCTTTTTCGGATGCCTTTTCACCGTCCAGGCGTTCTTCCAGCTCTTGTCCGGTAAGTGATTCACCGGCGAACCAGTCATGGCATAAATACTCGAGCCCGATCTCGTGTATGTTGGCTCCAGCATATCCACCACGAATTCCCTGCACTTGCGGGGAGCCTGGATAGGGCGGCGGTAAGTCCAAAGAGGCTACCGTCGAAGCGTCGCGATAACTTAGGTTCATTTTTGGAGCGTCTGATTCATTGGATAGCACACGACTCCACAGGGATGACCAAGCTTGATTCAATCGGGCAACTTCCTGACGGACTTCGTCTCCCATACGTCGCCGGATGTATGCTTCCGTCTTGGCTTCAGAATCGCGTTCGGCACGACTGCTGTTGGCCCTGGCATTTTGCATGGCCCGTTGGACGACAGTATTTGATCCGCGTCGCATGCGGCTTTGAGCGGAGTACGGCTGAACATTGGCGTTGGCAACGACACGCGAGTTGCGAAGGACAAACTTTCCCTGGTCCCAGGCGATGGGAAACTGTGCATCGATCGATGTAGTACTTCGCTGATAGACGATTGCTTCGCTGGCATATGCCGTCGTCTGAGAAGAACTCGTTCCCCGAAAATGCCAGTTCAGCGTGCCATTGGAAATTGGATCAAGACTGTATTTCCCGGTAAGCGTTCCATTGCCGGTCACTGGATATCCGGCAAAACGATCGTTGACATCAAATGATTCACGTACATTGCCGCGTGTCATTTCCTGTAGCAAAGCATCAGATATATGAAACTGGATAGCAGGCTCTTTCCACGCAGCACGGGCATCGTCCAATGGCTGCGAAGTAACGTCGTTCTCGGCCAGCCAGGCGGCGGCGTCGTAGCCTTTGCGAAACGTCGCAAGCGATGGTTCTTGCTGCCACGAGTCTAACGCATCNNTTTGCTGTTGAACTAATTCCTTATTGGGAGGAGGCGTTGGAGGTTTGGGCGGGACAATCGGTGCACCTTCTTGGGCGACCAAAGTGCCGTGTATCAGGAGTCCAAGGCATATTCCCAAAATTCGATAGCCTACTGCGACTTTGCTTTGGGGCGATGTTCGTATCATGGAGTGTCCCCTTCCGTTTGATGCGCAACGCGGATTCGCCACCCATCGCTGGTATCGCTGGCTTGCAAGACGACAATGTTGAAGTGCTTGGCGACTTGATCGAATGATGGTAAACGCTGATAGACGGTGTTCTGATCTTTCAAACCCCAGAATCTGAGCCAAGAGAACTCCTCAGTCGGTTGGTCTTCCTTGAGTTGGGTCCATCCGGTTCGTACGAAAGCAG